AAAAAATAAAAATAAAAAATCATCGGTTCCCCTATTTTAGTTTGACCATTTCTAGTACCTCTTCTACGTTTAGATATTTTCTTTTTTCTTTTGAATAGTCAGAATTAAGAGTCTTAATTCTTAAGGCTTAAGCCTTAAAGTTCAAATTTCAAACTTTAAAAAAAAAAAAATGGAAAAAAGGAAAAAAAATTGAACAAAAAATCTTAGGCACACATTAGTCAAACACATTTTCATGTACCTAGGCACTAGGCACAGGGGCGGACCCAGCACCTGACCAGCCTACGCGATCGCCCGTGCTGGACTTACTGGGAGTTTCAGCCGTTAGTCGTCGGCTCGCTGTCTACTGAGAAGAAATGAAATGAAGAAAACGTCTGAAATTTTTGAGTTGCAGGTTCAAGGGACATTAGAAGGGAGGAAGACGATAGATTTTTGATTTTGGGCTCTTTTTTGGCCCTTTTGTTTGTTTTGAGCTAGAAGAGTTGGGCCTTTGTTTTAAATATTAGGCCCAATAATCGGCCAATCCATGGTCCATAATACCCGGTGACGATTTGTAAGCAATTACCAAACATGAAACTTCCAAACAGATGTCCGACCTGTCGTCGGCTGCTATAATGTTTAAACATTTCCAAAGCCTCATCTTAGGTTTTTAACAAATAAACATAACAGTACCGAGTGCAATTGTCAATGAAAGTGATGAAATACTTTTTCCTACATTTAGTTTGTACGAATTTCAAGTCACATATATCGCTGTGAATTAATTCTAAAGGTAAAGTATTTCTATCAACCGAAAGAAATGGTCTTTTGGCTAACTTAGCCTCAACACAAGTTTCACATTTGTGATTAGGATCGAAACTTAAATAAGGTAGCAAATTTAAGTTCATTAATTTGCGCACAGATTTAAAGTTTGCATGTCCTAATCTTTTATGCCATAAACAAGAAGAATCAACAATATACGCAAAAGTAGAAGTTTCATTAATCATGTTCAACTTAGGTACAATAGTAAGGACGTTCATCTTGAAAATTCCATCAGTCATGTAACCCTTCCCAACGTACATTCCATTACTAGTTAGTACAAATTTGTCAGATACAAATACTAACTTAAACCCATTCTTGCTAAGAAGGGAACCAGAAACAAGATTTTTTCGAATGTCGGCATATGCAGCACATTGTTGAGGATGAGTTCCTTGCCATATGTCATTTTCAAGGTCACATTTCCTTATCCTTCGACCTTTGAACTTAAGGAATTTCCCTTGAATAGTTGTTCTCCGTCGATAGGTTTGTAATCAGAAAACACATTCTTCCCTTGAAAAATATATAGTACTCGAAAGTATTTTGTAGCTAATGGCTCATTTGAACTTCCAATCAAATCTCAAACTATCTTATAGACAAGCCAATCCCAGCCAACTTGAAACAATTTATAGAATTTCTCTACCAAAAGTTCTACTCCAAATTTTTACTTTCCTCACACTCATCAAAGCAACTTGAAAGCCCATAAAATTACATTCAGTAACATCTATAGTATTTCATGGTAATTTTTGGAGTTTTTATTACCATGCTATGAATGTCTAATCTCACTAAAGCTTTCTCTAACAAATCACGTTGCTCCCTATTTCTGTATGGCAAAGTAAACAATGCCAAGAAAAAAAATGAAAGAGAAAATGCCTACTCATTTGTGTATAACTTGCAATTTACTAAAGAATATCAACTTATTAAAACACGAAAAGCTTTAGCCGAGAGTCTTACAAACTACAAATAAGAATTACACATTCATCGTGAAACTGATGAGACCAAAATAGATATTCGCAAAAATACTCCAACTTCACCGAGCGAAAAGGGAAAAAGTCCCGTTTTCTCATCGAGGAAACAAAAGAGAGAGTTGAATTACATGACAGTGAATTTTCAACTGAAAATGGGTACTCAATTGAAGTTGATTTGCTTGAAAATCGAAGAATTGCTATAGTAACCTTGTAATCGAGTGTTCAGTGGATTGGCAGGATATCCGACCCGTTAGAATAAAATGGATTTCGTCTAGATCCGCCAAAGGAAAAATTGCAGACAAGTCACCAAACTTTGCAAACTACTGCATTTAGATAAACTTTTTTCTCACCAAAAACTCCACACTATTGATTTAGAAATATTTTTGCCTCAAATTTTCTTTTATCGTGGTTGATGTTCGTAATAAGAAAAATGGAGTAGCAAAATTTTAAATTGCAAGAGAATTGATGAAACCGAACACCGTGATTGTACCAAAGAGTTCAATTTTCTGCAAATGCAGTTTCTTCATACATAAGCACACGTAAAACCTGCAAGATTTTTAAATGGAATGTCGTTTTGGAAGATGAACAAGCAGTAGGAGTTGCTTCATTATGAAGTTTACCCGAAGTTACTTGTTGGATAACATGAAGCTGTCGGTGTAGACTGTCGGTGGGAGGGTGGGTGGGATCAGAGGTACAGAGTGTTTTACCAAATTTTGAATAATTAAATTATCTAAACAATATAGAGGAAGGATGAAAGAAATATCTTATCGTGATTTATATAAATAAATGTGATTTTTTCGCTCTTGGACATGCTTTGATCACATCTGAAAAGTTGAAGCAAATCGATGAGTAATGACACGAAATGCACACCTTGGTGTAAAAACCTAAGATTCATATATTTTCAGATGGACTGGTTACAGTAAGAGCCACATGTTTAGAATTAGATTGGGACTTGAATTCTAATGAGTATTTTGATTGGAAATGCTTTTGGAGGAGACTGAGAGTTAATAGTAGATTTGAAGAAGTCTTGAAGGCGTTCAAGAAGGATTTCACTTTTTGGCAATTTTTTGACTCTTATTTCATTCCAAATTCTCCATTATTGTTTTTACCTATTGCATTGATACTTAACTTTATATTAAACTCTTCATATATTAGTTCCCTTAATATGTTAACGATTTTTAAATTATATGTATGTGATATATAACACAAATTGAAATTAACCAATTATCCAATTAGTTATTGGTCCAAAGATCCCTTATAACTTTTTACTATTGATTATAGTGAATTTTTGACATTTGTCCGTAGTTTTCTCGAATTTGGGTTTTCATATAAATCTTATTTTTTTGATGATCTATTATTTTCATATTACTCATCTTATTCTAATATTTATTTATTTGGCCATATTCTCAGCACCACCGAAATATACGAGTTCAAGAAAAGGTTCCCTTGAATATTGGGTAGCAATTGTTAAACCATGTCGAATATTATATGAAATGGATGGAATGATTGAAAATATAGCGTTTCCTTTTCTCTTTGCTTCCAAATCCTCCTGAGTTGAAAGTATGAAACATTCGGTGGTATTACAAGCATTCAACTTATTGGTACTACAATTAATTATTAACAATCGATGTGCAACTATAAGCACTTGATTTCAATTGTGAATTCTCAATGTACAAATATCTCACATATGTAGCACTCGATAAAAGTTTTTTGTATGTCTGTAGCACTCGTAATAGTTGAGTTGCTCATCATTTTGACTTCAATTGATCTTATAGAAGCAATATGGTGTTACAGAGAAAACTAAGTCCATGTTTGATTCATTTTACTTTAATTTATTCGTCATACTTCAACCATATATTCACATAATAAAATATTCTGCACGTAAATTTAAGACTTTTTTACTTTTTAACCACACATTTTCCAAAAAATACTATTCAAAACTATGTTTTTAAAATTTTAAGGGCTCCGAACAGGGACTAAATTGCCTTTTCAATAAGATTAAGAGGTAAAAGTTAAAACCCAAAAAGAGAATGCATTAGTGTTTTACCAAATGAAGTTGTAGTGCCTTGGATTGACCAAACGGAATCTGGGAATATTGGAATCGAAAGCTAAATTTTTTATGCATTTGGAGAGGAAAAATGATCCTGTCTCAAAATGTTAAACCTTCCGAGGCTTAGCGCGGCAAGTGAAAGATCCATAACAATAGTATTGGAGCAGGCACCAAGTTTTCGAGTGGCAATCGAGCTATGCAAATGGTGAATTTGGCATAGTACAATTTCTTCTGAGATTAATCATGTATCAGTGCAAAGTCGGCGTGAGTGTCAAGATTACAGAGTATGGTGGTTTATTATGGTTCCATTGCAACGTACGAGACTTTGATCTCATATCGAAAGTAACAAATTTTAGTTGTGTGGTTTATACAGACTTGTTCTCTTTAACTTTAGTAACTAGTTTATAAGATATGATTCTCTCGAGATCTATAACAAGTTTTGTCTCCACTGTTTAATATAAAGAAATGATGAGAGAGAGAGAGAGGAGTCTAACGGGACATTTAAACGTCGTTAAATTGAACGACTAAAAACATAACTTTCATAACGTAACGTGGAAGAGAAGGACATTAGCAAGTTAGAAAGATATTTTAAGGAATAGATAATGCAAAACTAGATAAGGTTTCTGAAGTGGCGGAATCTCTGCAATATGTTTATCAATATCAACTCAACTATTTGCTTGCACGCAAACAGCTTTTCTATTATGAAAGCTTCATTTCCCAAAATTGGCAAATTATATTATATATTAAATTAATATTTATAGGAATTGACTTTACCTTATTGAATGAATAACAGAAAAATAAAAGTTTAATTATATTGTGCGAATTCACACTACCGTTAAATATCGGTACTACGTTACCTACTATCATTTTTTTATCTTACTTCGGACCGTTAAATCTGGGTCAGTTTTTTCTAATTCGATGAAGTACTTTAAAAAAATTATTCAAACAAACTTAAAAACAGCTTTTAACTTTTCAAGATAGACCATTCAACTATTAATATTATATTTGTAAGGCACGGAAATAAATATACAGCCCTACTTTGTGATCTCCGTACACGACAATTTTAAATCAACTATGTTTATATTAAGCTGTAGCATATGTCTGTACTCATCTTCTTGTTTGTTTCACCTCAAATTAGTTCCTCCATTAATTCTTTGGCTGTGAGATTTTGATCTGGTTGGTGTTCTGTTCTTATGACTATCACTAAGGTCTACATAGTGTAAGTCGAGCAGACAACTATGTGTTCATATGCATATTTTCTCAACAATTTTTCAATTTCAAGATTGATTCATATTGCAGGTATTACTCCTTGCATGGACATGTGGAGATCATGGCAAGAGAGATACAGAGAGGCGCTAATTCTGTTTCAGGTGTAGAAGCTAAACTTTGGAAGGTTGCCGAGACACTGCCTGAGCAAGTTTTAGAGAAGATGAAGGCTCCTGAAAAACCTGATGATGTGCCTGAGATAAGGCCTGAGCAGTTAGTGGAGGCTGATGGCTTTATCTTTGGTTTTCCATCTCGTTTTGGGGTAATGGCGGCACAATTCAAAGCCTTCTTTGACGCCACACATGAGATATGGGCTAGCCAGGCACTTGCTGGAAAGCCTGCCGGAATCTTCTGGAGCACCGGCTTCCATGGGGGTGGTCAGGAACTTACTGCGTGAGTTTTTCTGTTTTGCTGAACATAATTTTGAACTTCATTTGCAGATTTTGATAAGTGATCGATGTCAATTGATGTTTATATTACAGTTAAAAAATAAAAAAAAGCTCACATTACAACATAGAGAATCATTGACTTTCCGGTAAGAACATAAACATAAACATAAACAGGAGAAGCAGAATAGTTTAATTATTTGGAGATGGAATTGGAAACCAGATGATGTATAATTGGATGGTGTCAATTTTTTGAGTGGTAATTTGACAGAGGCGTTTATGAAGACAGAATTAGGCACACCATGATGCATAGACTATACCAATTTGAGTGGTAAACATGATGTATAGTTGGATGGTGCCATTTGAGTGGTATTGGGGCAGCAGGTTTCATGGAGATGAGTTGAGTGGCTTATGGAGCTGGAGATGTCTTGCCTGCCGAATTGGAAACACTAGCTTTTTAGAAGCTTCAATGCAACCTAGGTGCTAGTCTTTGAGGAGTAATCTGACATGTTGAACTAATGCCGGATACAAATTATAAGAATGCAAGAACAGAGGATCAAAATGGTTCAGGCCTACATCCACTCACACACGAACACAGGACACTGATTGTGCAGACTTAGTGCAAGTGTATGAACCTTACAACTCCCCCAGAAAGTGAATTAGAAGGATCCCTTTGTGCAGGATAAGGAGCAGATTTTCCTCGTGAGAGTAAAATCAGTATAACTGAGTTATAGGCGATATCCCAAGTTCCCAACTGACTAACCTCTTTAGCTAACTCCCTTTTAACTACAATTTCAAGGAAGGAAGCTGCTTCACCTTGCTAATTGATGTTTGGCTTCATTTGAGCTGCTCATTTTGTGCCATAAGTTCCATTCTGATTGGTGATCAAAGATGAATCATATGCAATACTATGTTTAAATACAGGATTTTTATTGCTTGTAAAAGCTGTGACAGCTTTGAAATCAAAACCGAGTATAGCAAAGAATATACTGCATATTGGCAATAATTCTGGCACACCCTACATTGAAGGTTTGAGCATGCATAAATGTACAAGCTTCGAGTTATTTTCAGTAAAAGAAATTTATTTGACTAAAAAAATAGTGATACAGTACAAAGTTAATATCAGAGTTTGATTATCTGCTTGATTGCTGGGTGCAGATTGACAGCCATAACACAGTTAGCACATCATGGCATGGTTTTTGTTCCATTGGGATATACCTTCGGAAGTGGTATGTTTGAGATGAATGAGGTGAAGGGTGGATCCTCTTACGGTTCAGGCACTTATGCAGCAGATGGATCGCGTCAACCCACAAACCTTGAACTTCAGCAAGCCTTCCATCAGGGTAAGTATGTTGCTGAAATCACTACCAAGCTGAAGAACAGTAACTAAGTCCCCTCCACTTGCGATACGTTTGGTTCATGAACGGGAGAGGATTAGGCTGAAGAACTCACAATTGTTCACATGCTAAGTTTCTTTAATCCTGTCCAGTTATGTCTAATTGAGTGTACCAAACTTGTACGTGGGGGATGTAAAGCTACGCAATGCAATATACATATATCTTTATGAAAACTGCTTTAACGTACTTTGGACATTTTAAATCTACACAAAGCAGTGCGAGGGTATTGAACTTTCCAGGCATTGCTCAATATAAACTCAACTGTGAATTGCTATCCAAATTTGGTGCTTATTTGCATCTCTTTTGCGCACGCGTTACCTAATTTTAACACAGCAGGTCCTTTGTTGTCAATCCTGCTAGCAATCCCGATGTATCACGTGTCCAAATATTCAAACTAATCAAGAATGGAGAAGTTTAAATAGCATAGTTATGAGATACGACCGGCTATCGACCTGACCATGTAGTAGTTACCAGTGTCACTCGGTAAACTGGCGAGTCTCTTCTCCATTTAACCATCTTCTTAGCCGGCTTATTGTTTGGTCTACAATGATAACCACGGTTTAAACTTTAAACTGCCTGGAACAATCAAAAGGAATAATTTAAAGCTCTAGAATACCTTGAGTACTAAGCAAAGCTCTTGGGGCCTGCTTGAGAGTTTTGGGTTATCGATTATGTGATTTTATTAAAGTATCGATTTTGAGCGCTTATTAAGGGTCAGAGTATGATAGCTTTTAGTAGCAATTTTCAAAACGGCTAACTTAAGTTTGAGAGTTTATTATGAGCAGATATAAACGTCCCTTAATGAAATTTTCAATTTATAATTTATTATAATAAATTTTTTCATAATCAATATTTTACTTATAAGTAGTTTTTACATATAAGTTAATGTTTACTTATAAGTTAATTTTGTACTTTAAATAACTTGTATATAGTGATTTTTTATTTTACTAGTAGTATTTTTACTTTATAAGCAATTTTTTAATACAAAAGTGAACTTTTATCTTATAAGTAACAAATTACCTTTTTAGCCATTTTATTTTACTTATAAGTTAGCTTTGAATAAAATATATGGGTTGAGAGTAATTATTTATAGAGGATAAAATTGGAAAAGAATTTGAGACATGACCAAAACTCAAGGGGATTGAGAAATGCCACTCAAAAAGGGAAATGAGATTCCAAAATTCCCATGGAAACATTTCATTCAAATCAGCAAGTTAAGAATATTAATGTAAAGTGACGATTAGTTCTTACATAGCACGCTACTTATATTCTAAACCATTGTTATTAAACCTGATATGCATCGATAACACACATAATAACTAAACAATCCCTGCATAGAAGCATGGCTAATCAAAGACCACCACCACCACCACCACCATCACCACCACGGAACTCGAGGCTAGTGAGATGCATCGCAATGGTGTTGATAGCCTGGATTATACTGAATTCCTTGATTGTCCTCGTCACATGGCTATCAGTCCGGCCAAAGAAACTCAAATACTCCATTGAAGATGGCTCAGTAAGTGGCTACAATTTGTCCAATGACCACCTCAATGCAACCTTCCACCTCCTGCTGCTTGCAAATAACCCCAACAAAAGGATTTCTGTGTACTACGACAATATTGAAGTATCACTGTTGTACGAGGATCAGACACTGTCTGTCAACAACGTTAATCCATTTTATCAGCCACGGAAAAATGTGACACGCCTGAACGTAAATTTGGAGGCGAAAGATGTGACACTTCATGGGGCAGTGGCTACTGACTTGAAAATGGAGAGGGGCTCTGGGAATGTGGATTTGAATGTTAAGTTAAGGGCGAAAATCAGGTTGAAGGTTGGAATACTTAAAATTCATCGCATTTTCAAGTTTAAGTGTGGTCCTTTGGCTGTGCCATTTTCTTCATCGAAGGAGTTCAAGAGGGTTTCTTGTGATGTAGATTAAGTTTTTTTAATTTCTTTTTCTTGGCTCTGGCTCTAATTATGTTAGGAAATAACTGTTATTTAAAAATATTTTGTTTTGATTATGCATAAATACATGTTTATATATTTCAAGTTAATTATTCATTGCATTTTAGAGTAAGTGATTAAGAAAGTCAATCGTTTTTTGAGAATATAAGCTATGTATTCGCATATGTCAGTAAAGATCATATAACGTATATTTTGATCAAAAATATTTTCTCCTAGACTGATTTATAGATGTTGACCATCTATATGGGTTGAAGGGCAATTTACTCTATTGATTGGGATCCTCGATCTGTCTTGGCCTGATGATTGTTCATTTGAGAGTAATAACATTGATACATCTGGATGTGTATTAATGAGATCGAATCAAGTAAAACTTTATTAATTTATTGTGAATCGTGATAAAGAAATTAATCACTCCCAATTGTCTTATGAATTACCAAAATTTGTAACGGGGTAGTTGTTTATATTCGTTAACTTGATGTTCATTGATATGCTAATGAGTGAGACCATTCAGTTTCGATTATCATATTGGTATATTGACAATTGATAAAAATCGAAGTAGTGAGCAGGTATTCACATTTCAGATCTATCGAGATTATATAAATTGCAGGTAAATAATTTTTCTGGTTTTCATATAATTTATAAGTTCAATTTCTCGTCCACAATGAAAGAAGCGAAAATTAATAATTATACTGGACAATCTCGAATTGACTTGATTGAGTATAATTATTCTAGTAAAAATCCGATAAGGTCCTTTGGTATCTTCAATAAAAAGTTTTGGACAAAATTTCGTAAGCAATAATAGTTTCGGGATTGCATGTGTAAAAATGAAATAATAGAAGTAGGTGTAAATTGGAACTAGGGATCAAGGTCCTGGTTCTTTATAGATAGGGCCACGGGGATCGACCACCTTATAGTTTTCTCAGCAACTGTTGTGGTCTTCCATTGGACAGAGAACGAGATCAAAATTGTTGTGGTCTCAGCAAGTGCAGTTTATACTTATACCAATAAAATTTGAGGGTCGGAAACTTAAAGATCGAAGATCAAAATTCAAAGTTGAAGTTCAAGATTCAGGAACGGGATTGAAAAAAAATTAGGGGATGTTCTCTTTGTATTTCAGTTTTGTGTTTTGAGTTTTGAATTCATTTTGGGTTTTGTGTTTTAAGTGTCCATTTTGAGATTGTTGAAAATATGTTCTTTTTGACATTTTGAAAACACCCAAAACGCGTTTTGAAAATTTTGGCTTGATTATAACTGAAAACATCCAAAACGACGTCGTTTTGGATTTTCTTTGTAAATTTTTAATTTGTTTCCAAAAACATGTTTTCGAAAATAGGAAAGAGAACGCGTTTTCATTGTTTTAAAAATCGAAAACAGAAAACGATTTGAAAATGGTAAAGAGAACATGCCGTTAATATTCGGATAAAGAATTCAAGCTTTAGAGTTTAATCACAATGCGAGGGTAATTTCACACTCTCTTCGTTTGATTGATTTTGTGAGATATAATTGCGTAGTTGTGAAAAAGAAAATTTTTATTAATCTTTGACACGAATAAACATGTATTCTTTCCCAAAAAGCAACATTGACGAATTTATCATTTTTAAACTACTGTGTTACCAACTTGCAATTGCAATACTGTTATTAATTTTTAATTTTTTTTAATCCATAAATAACAATAACTTAGGTGTATAGATTTGTGATTGCATTTTGAGAGAAATTTCAAAAACATCTTCAAATGACATCATATTAATTCTTTAAAATTCATTATTAAAACATAATATCAAACAATGTACAATGTGCACTTAAAAAAAGGTATGCTTCTCCATATTCGATAAACATACAATTAGGCAATTTAAATATAATAAAATTCACTAATTATGTCGTGTTCTAGAGCGACAATAACTTATAAAAATACCTTCGAGACGAGAATATATAAATTGCATGATTATTGCTAATTATGCCACTAGGTGCTATAGATTGACTCAACCCCACATTCTTTCTAGCAAAATACAATGTTTACAGATTTAGAGTCGCTTTTTTCGAGTATAATAAGGTTGTTTAAAGGCAGATTAACGTTAGATGTGGCTTCTGTTTACACGTCCATGTACATCAATAATTTATTTAAATTATTAAATCATTATGGTCAATTGCATTGACAATTTTTGCAATAAGTTATAGCCTTCTGCTAAATTTCCATTGGATAAGCATTATAACATGGAGAAGTTAGATAATTTTATGAATTTTGTTAATGAGCAGTCGATTATAAAGATTATCGCTTCTAAAAGTTTGTTCGGCATAGATTTATTCAAAAAAATAATAATAATTATTATTTTTAGAGAGTTTACGGAAAAAAATCACAATATTGATATATTAGGGTTTGGCTAACTCTTCTGGAAAATGTAAATATTTTAAGATGGAATTTCGAACCTCGATCGTTGACTTTTAAAATAGACAACGATCCAAATGGGTTTCCTTATTTGTGTCGAACCTTCCATTATAGATGGATATCGCGACTTACTGTGGTCTATGAATGATTAAGGGATTAACCTAAATTATACAAAATTAAATATACCTAGATATGTTGGCGAGTGATTTATGAGTTTACAAAGTTGCATGTCCCGTCAAGATCTGCAGTTGGTGTACATTAATTATAATTTCTTCTAGAAACAGAAATAAAAAGAAAAATATCATTTAATGAAAGTCGAGGTGGAGTAGTTGAATTGAATTTTTGAAAATAGATAAGACATCAACTCTCTGCCCATAAGAATGAAAAAATGAATGAACTCAACTACTCTCGCCGTTGATGTCGATGACGATGGCGATGATATATATCTTATTTGTAAAATTAGTAGTTTTTTTTTCTTGAAATAAAATTAGATGAAAATACAGACACTGACGACGACGACGATATATCTTATTTGTGAAATTAGTAGTTTTTTTTTCTTAAAATAAAATTAGACGAAAATACAAACACTGATGACGACGATGATGATATATCTTATTTGTGAAATTAGTAGTTTTTTTCTTAAAATAAAATTAGATGAAAATACAGACACTAATATTATTTCAAAAATATAATAACTTATGATGATCCCATTATTAATATATGAAAATTTGGATCATAATCATTGGAAAAGATAATATAATCAAACATGTTTTATTATATTAGTAGTGATGCGGATTAATTTGAAGCCACTAAAGGTTCAATACTTCAATATCTGACCACTTGCGTTCATAACAACGATGTCATATAGCTAAAAACGTCCCTAAGAAACCATCTAAATACAAAATATACTTAAAAATGAATTCCAAGACATTCTCTATTTTTATTTTTTAAAATAGAGAGTGAGTTTGACCCTTTAAATTTAGAGAGTCAAAACTCGCGGTTTATACAATGATTACATTTAATAAATCATATATTTCAATACTCTACTTCTTAAACTATTTTAATCACATTTAAACTGATTGATCAATTGACATATAAAAAATTACGTTGAATAAAATATGAAGGATGCTCGTTGAAGTTTTGATTCTCTAAATTTAAAGATATTCTCTACAATACATAATATGTTCTTTGTAAATAAAGAATTACTTAGAAATACTCTAAAATGGTTGCTTTCGAGAGCGGACACATGCTGTACATGTTTGTCGTTAACTCGTGTCGTAAGGTGTTGAGTGCAGCCTCACAATAAGTACAACTCCCATAACAATTTTATAATTCGATTTTATCAAAATCTACAACCAAAATTTAATGATAATTTATTTTTAAGGCTCAGAAAAACCTAAGGTTCCAATCCGCGTTAGAGAAAAATCACCTACCACAAATCACTATAATTATAATATGCCCCGCCAGCTGCATTTCTTACCGTTGAATTCAAGCTTTGTGGAAATCTTTCGAAATTTCCATCATCTCATCAGAAGAAAACAAAGAAACTGTTAACACGCGGCAGATTTTCCTAGTCAAAATTCCTGTTTTACAGGCACCTAGAAAAAAAATCATACAGACGTTAAGAGTGACGGAAAAATTTCAGGAAAATCTTGCTTTGAATAAATTATTAACGGGTCACCTCTCTCTCTCGTTTACTATTATTCATAAATCCCAACTGAGACCTTCCCCTCTCTGAATTTTCTTCTCTCTTTCTATGTATGTACAGTTCTAGATTGGAAGTTAATTATTGGGTTGCATATTAGTGATAGAAAGGTACTATTTGCTTATAGTTTTTCTTTGCTGGTATGATTATTTTCTGTTTGCTTTTCTTGATTGCGTGTGTTGATTTTTTTTCTTTTTTCTCTTGTTGGTTGTGAAATAATGAATGATGTAATCTTATTTTTTACATGTGAACATCTGTTTATATGTTTCTACAAATTCTGTAATTGTTTTTGTTTGGATTTTAGCTATATTTTTGTTGAGAGGTAGATCTGGAAGAAGATTTTTCGTTGAAAAAAATTGATTATCTTTTTTATGAATCCATTAAGATTCTGTGTTGGGTTTTAGTTTTCACGTTTTTGGTAGTATGAATTTTGGCATTTTACTTTTCGTTTCCTTTTTCTCATGGGTGAGTTGTCATAGACAAGACTCAAGAGGGATCTCTAAGTCATTTATCTTTTTGCCTTTTTCTTTTATAAAATGCCAAACTTTATATCTTTAGATTGCTTGTTGTTAGGGATGGATAAACCTTGTAATCTTACAGTCCAGCAATGTATTTCTTGACCCTTTGATCATATTTTGCAGAGTTTTACAATATGTATTTATTCACTTTGGTGTACCAGTGGAGTGCAGATCTAATCTGCGGATTCAGCAATCTGAAATAAGTTTCTGCAAATTCAAAGCATCAATTGATGCATTACAATCATATATGTGTGGTTTATTAGTCTTGGAGTTGACTATCAAGGCAGGGAATCGAAACTCTGTCCTACTGTGATGAGTTCGATAGAAATGGCTGTTGCGGGTTTGCATAATGTATTAGCATATTGTCCTCCTTTCTTTGGGGAGTCTCAGTCTCCTGTGTCGAGGACATGTGGTGAAGAACCAGACCAGCCTAGCACTCGGGCATCCTCTCTTTTGCAAATGTGGCGGGAGATTGAGGGTGAGCATGTAGTGGGTCATTCTCCTAGATCAAGGCCACTGAGAAGTGACGTTTCAGATTCTGACAACTCAAGTACAATCACTTCAGATGGACAACGGAGTGATAATGGGGATAATTGCTCTGTTGATGCCAGAGAAATTGAGAATCAAGACCGAACGAGGTTAGAGAATGACCATGAGGATGGTAACAGCATTATTTCTGAGCAATCTACTGATTTGGGAGAATTTGAAAGAGAACGAGTTAGACAAATTTTCCGCGAATGGATGAACAGTGGTGCTAAAAGTCATTCTACTACTGGTTCACGTATGAACAAGCAATCAGGGCCACAATGGCTTGCGGAGAACGAATGCGAAAGGGTGAGAGTCATAAGAGAATGGGTCCAGAAGAATACCCAAGAAGGAAGCAGTTCTGGCTCACATAGAGATGGAGTTGCTGAAGTCGGTTCTCAATTTGAGCAGGTGCGTGACGGCTTGACAGTCAATCACTCCGAGGTTGGCGCACGGAGGCCTATTCGGAGATTATGTGGCAGACAGACTCTTCTTGATCTTCTTCTTAGGGCCCAAAGGGAAAGGAGAAGAGAACTTCAGGGTTTGTCCGAGAAGAGGCCAGTATCAGACTTTGCTCATCGCAATCGCATTCAGGTGACTGGTTATCCTTGGTATTTTCCTCTTGTAGATGTCATAATTACATAAGTTATTATTTTCCAGTAACATAACTCTTCTTGGTCAAGTGCTTGTAGGCTCAACGGCAGTGTCTATGAAGTCAATTTACAATTTTTCCATATCTTTGATGTTTCTTAACATAATTATCTGCCTATGTTTGGCTCATGTTTATCAAGTGTCATTTTTTATCCACACATTTCAAGGGAACAACAAGTGTTACCCACTCATCCACCACTCCTTTCTAGTTATTTCATAATTTAAACCATTTATTAACACTTCCCAAACATGCTTAATTGTATTTCCATATAAGCTTCTCTATGGATCTCCACATACCACATAATCTTAGGGATTCGGTGATTGTGATATCTATAAATAGTTAAAAAATAAAATAAAAGATCAATCTCAGACGAGAGACCATGTTCAATAGCTGCAATCCTTATTAATCTCACGTCTCTTGCAGGCGTTACTTCGAGGTAGGTTCCTTCGAAATGAAAGATCAATCTCAGACGAGAGACCATGTTCAATAGCTGCAACTGAGTTGGGTATGCTGAGTCAAAGACATGCAGTATCTGACCTCAGGTGGGTCCTAGTGATATGTTGTAGATATTTAATGATTCCAAGATGCCGAGAAAAAAGATATCCATTTACTTATTTGAACTTGGCAGTTTTCCTGTGTAATAATATTTTATCTCAGTCAGCCTTCTTTTGTGACGCTTCTCAATTTCTTCCTTCTATATCTACCCTGTTTTATTGAATGTACATGATGGCCATCATAATTTTTGAATTCATAACATCAATTATCTCTATAGTTTTATGCTTGTATGATTCAAAATTATGTAGCTCTAAGACATGAGATGTTGAATTCAATGTTTAATGATATACACATGGCACTTATTTAAAAGCTTAAGCTATTGGATCTAATGGTTCAACGTGGTAATGCACACAAAGATCCTGAGTTCACGTCTTGATGCCATCCAATATTTTTATTGATTGCAAAAAGTCCCGAGTCATGGACATTGCACATAATAATCTTGTAGAAAATTATTTATCATTGTTTTTCTTTGTGCTAGTTGTCATATCTTGATTTTCTTTTCAATTTTATTGGTCTAAGACTCCTAAATTGAATTTCAAAATATTTAAGGTCGCGCCAAGTTTTTTTTACTCCTTTTTTCTCCAGAGTTTTTTTTTTTAATCTCTTAATATCATAATTTTGTGATACAGGGAAGGATTCCTCTCCAGATTGGACAATTCTTCTCAGATTTTAATGAACAGCTATAATGAGCATAGAGATGAACAAGAGGTTATCAATAGTCAATCACAGCTTACTTGCGGGGAATGGGAGACCACTGTGACTCATCCTGCAGGAGATTCAGAAATGGGAACAGATGAAAACATCATTCAACAGGAGTTTGTTATAGAAGGTGCTTCTGAAGTAGAGGAGCCAGGATTGGACGATGAAGAAATTTTGCAAGAAGCATCGATAGAGGTTGAACAGGCTGGTACTAGACATTCTATAGAGAACAATGACACTGGAACCATCGCAGAGAATAATGCCGATGACCGATCGTTGGAAAATGTGGATATCGATGGCAGTGAACACCTTGAAGGTTTTGCTGAAAATTATGAACATAGAACTCAGGTAAATTATGACCAAGAGGTAGCTGGTTATTCAGATAATGTGGAACGAAATGCATATGAAGAATTTGATAGGCAAGATTCTTCAGCTCAAGTGGAAGAGTTGCGAGAGTCAGTAATTGAGAATGAAGAAAGTAGCTGGCAACAAGTAACTGGTGTTCCATTTAGTGAATGGATGGATGGTAGAGGTTGGCAGCGAAACTCTGCTAATCAGTGGATTCAAGAAACATCTGGTAATGATGGTGTTGAACATGGTCAGATGCAAGAATCACATGAAGAATGGCAAGGTCATGATTTGCAAGAGGCTATTGATAGTTGGTTAGATGTGCCTTCTGGAGAGGACAGTGTAACTATTGAAAGATTTGGAGGAGTTTACTTCTCAGATGATGATAATCTTTACAGCATGGAACTTAGGGAACTTTTCAGCCGGTAATGATTTTGTCACTATTGACTCGAGCACGTTCTGTTAATCAATGAATTTCACGTAAACTATTGATTTTTGTTCTGAACATCTCTTTTGTGCTGCAGGAGACGTGTTTCCAGTCTTCTCCGAAGTGGTTTCCGTGAAAGTCTAAACCAGATTCTACAATCACACATGGAAAGGCAAGGTCATGCTTCTAATGATTGGGAGGACAATGCATCTTCTTCTCTTGCCTCCACAGAACAAGTAGAAGAACAGATAAATGGTGATCAAGATTTGGCTCTAGATGGCACAGAAAGAAATCCATTTATCTTCTCTTCACCACTTGGCAATGCTTTACAGCCACTTTTAGATGACGAGTTGCAGGATGCAAACTGGCCATGCAACAACTCTGAACGGCGCTTGGGAATTGTAAGCCCCGCCATTGGTACCACACATTCATACAATAAAATATTTTGCACGTAAACCCAAAACGTTTTCCTACTTTTTAACCACACATTCTTCGAAAAATCACTATGTAAAACATGGTTTTTTCTATTTAGTGGTTGTCAAACAGGGTCTTAATTGCGATTGGATAATATCCATAGAGTAAAATATTGGATTAGGTTAGTTAAATTACTTGATTCCATTAAGTGAAGAGATGGGAAATTATGATGTTAGGACGTGTCTTTTTTGGGTACCAATTAATGAATTTTCCAGAGCACTTCAAATTCACAGTTTTCATATCTCATGGATGTAGTAAAATTACTTCATACATTTTTTGGGTTATTTGATCATCTTACCCTTTGGATGTCATGTCAGCCACTTCTGCTCTCGTGGCTTGGCATGGATTTTTTTACTTATTATGTTTTGTTAATTGATATTGTAGGCGATAAAACTTCAATAAGCTATTGTACCTAGTTTGGTTAATCGAGTTTTTGGAGCTTTCCCCCTGCTTGCATTTAACTAATGATAAGCATGTATTTATTTGTGTTGAACATTCCAGGAGTGGGAGGTCATCAATGAGTTGAGAATTGATATGGCTAGGCTTCAGCAGAGGATGGACAATGTGCAGAGGATGCTGGAGGCATGCATGGAAATGCAAATAGAATTGCAGCGAGCTTTGCGTCAAGAGGTTTCCGCTGCCTTAAATCGGTCAATTTTTTCAACAGGTTAGATTTCGTGCTGGGGTTGTGAACATTAGTAATTCTGTCTTAATCTCTCTCTTTTATATTAATATATTAAGCTTTTCTCTGTGCATTACTTTTTCCTACAGCAAAAAGTGTCTCCTTAACTAATTCCTGCCACTTCGTTACCTAATCTTATTTTCCTACCACCACCACCACATACTGTCTTCCTATTTCATATATATGGCTTCTTTATCTTTCTATTATGAACTGATCAGTTCCAACGTCATTATGAATTCAGATAAGCTTGAAGGCACTGTGCCTAAGGATGAATCTCAGTGGAATCATGTAAAGAAAGGAATATGTTGTCTATGTCAAGATGGCCACATAGATTCCTTGCTGTACAGGTAGCGAATTACAAATTTTTGATAATTTGTTTCACTATATAATGACAGAGATCTGTACATGTGTATATTATGTGCTATGAACTGGTTCTAATATCTTGTCTGATTCTATGCACTTTTACCAAGTTCAGTGTTACCTAGTGGAAGAAACCTCTACGGCAATGCGCCGTAAATGATATTTGTTTCTCATATAATTTAACAGAGCGGATCTCATTATGTCTGTCTTTCATTAATACAGGTGTGGGCACATGTGCACCTGTTCAAAATGTGCACATAGATTGGTCGAAAGCACTGGAAAGTGTCCAATGTGCCAGGCACCAGTAGTTGAGGCAGTCCAAGCATACTTTATACAGTAATCGAAAAAGAAAAAAACATGTATAGGTGAAAATATGAAATGAATAGAATGATTCAAGTTGAAATAAGAAGGCCGCTATGTAGACAGACAGCTCTAGCCTGGAGTTTCGTCCTGGTAACATATATAACTTCACATACATAGATTCACAGAGTTTATTTTCTTCTCTTGTGAGGATGAAAAGTGCGTGAAAGGGAAAGAGACTACATGGGGCCTCCCAATGTAGGTTCCGATGGGATTCCAGATTCGTTGTTGCAATCAGAACAAGTTTCCTTGACGGATATTCATTCAACTACTCCAGACGAGTATAACAGATCGATACAGTTGCATCTGTACCTATGAAAGAAAGTCATTAGTTTTAGTGATGGCTTTTGTTGTGATTAAAACTCATCATATGGTGACAAATGGATGAAAGTTCCAATTGATGCTGATTTTGTGCATTGCTTAGTGTGTGATGTGTCTGAGAAAATGAATGTTGTAAGTTAAATATTTATTGAGCTGAATGACAGCAGTAATTTTATGACATGAAATTCTTTTTCTTCTGATAGCGAAATTTACGTATTAATACTGAAGTTTCAATAGTTTATATTACACAATTGTGGAGATGCTAACTATTTCGTAAAAAACAACCTATAAGTTAATTTTGACAAATATACTTATTTTCGATTGGTCTTAAACTTATTGCATCAGTGGCAAATGAATCCTTAAGTTTTAAAAGGATCAAGTTGATCGTCAACTTTTTATTATAGTTGCACAATTGATTTTCAACAATAGAAAGTGTTCAAATCTATGTGGGGGAGACTTGGATTGTTCTTTGTTGAGAGGTGCTTGTGTAATTACAGATCTATTTGCTCTTTTGAAGTTTAGGAGTCAATTTACTATTCAGGTAATGTATTGAGCACCAAAATGCAATTTTCCAAATTTTAATAGCTCCGTAGCCTTAAAAAACAGATGGTGGTAGCTAGGGCTGTCAATGGATTGGATTTTGATCTGAATTCGATCCGAATCCTACGAAATTAATGGGAGATGGATTTAGGATCTCAGTTCGATAACCCGATCAAGATCCGAATCCGATCACCCATTAACTAAATGGATTAAATATGAATATAGGTCAATCCGATCCGATAACAATCCGATCCGATTTGTTATAAATAATTGAGTCGATAAAATATTTTTATGGCATATTATTTGTCACTAAAATAAATAAATTTAGAATAAAAAATATCAAATTCAAAACATAAAAAAGTTTAAAAACTTTATANCTCCTTTAAAAAGAAATATCATGATTGTAGAAGTCACTATTGGAATTGCTAGGAAAAATAGCTGGGCATCAAGTGAGTTCAAATTTTTTTTCCCTAATTTCTATTAATTTCGGATCGGATATCCGATAACATTGCAAATCGGATATGAATTTAGCAATTAAATATCCGTTGGATTATCAGATCGGATTGGTTATAGACGGATCCGATCCATATTCGATCCATTTACATCCCTAGTGGTAGCCATGTCCTTGTTACGTATATAACTAGGCCCCTGTTTGAGCCCACATTATTTTTCTCATTCTCATTTTTCTATTTATTTTCAATCGCAAATTTTTCAATAAAATAATATTTTCATTATATTAATAACTTTTTCTTCTTTTTTTGAATCACATATTTTTCATCACATCAACGGTCAAAATGAATTCTTACTTCCAAAATGTGCACTAAACAGGGAGCTAAATATTGAAATAGAAAAAAAGCCCTCTCTTGAAGCTACCACAAACAATATTAGACGCCTATTTAATAAAGTATTAGGACTTAAACCTTTTATAGATTAACTATCAACAATCATGTTAATGTACATTTTCCTTTACATTAAAACCCTATTTGAACTCCATTATTCAATAACTCATTTTTTTTTTTCCATATTCATTTTCAACCATATATTCTACCAATAGAATAATTTGTTTGTAAATCAAAAAAAAATTCCTTATTTTTTAATCACATATTCTTCAAAAGTACAGTGCTACATGTGCAGATTAAAGTATTGCCAAATTTTTTACAGCTACCGTTTCCAATTTTTTATTCGACAAAAGCACACAAAAAAAGGTGACCAACCATATGCTGAGCAGCAAAATTTATTACAGAAATTCATTTTAACATAAAAATGGGGTTCAAACAATGGTTAAGGTTAATACTCTTCCGCATGACTTCCATCAAAGTCATTGATTTATACAGCACCCTATCACATTACTGTCTAAATTTTGATACATACGGGAGAATACCAAGGAGAACGTAAACAAGAATATACAACTATCAATTACATGTCCCTATTTCCAAAGTCGGTATATTTATTTTATTGCCACAAAATCAGGCCTCCTTTGAACATTTGCTTTTGAGCTACAGGCTACTAGTCTCGAACCAGTGAGTCATGTACGGGCTCATCCCGTCTCAGTCCACGAATCGTTCGAGTTAACATTGAGACAAGTGATGGGCGAGCAGGACTCAAATTTTTTTATCACAAGTTGGCTCGTATTGAGCTTGTGGGCCAACTTATTTTTGGCTCATTTTTAAAAATAACAAATCGACTAGTCGGCTCGTGGACGTGTGGACAAAGGGATCAAGCTGAACCGAACCTTATTTATAGGCACGAGCCAAGGTCAATGTTTCCGAGGGGCTGAGTCGAGCTCGGGTTAGCTTTATCTATTGTTACTCCTAATTTGAGCAATGCAAGACATTATTTGTTTCAGTCAAATAAAAGTAAGAAAGATAGTTTCATTATCCAATAAAATTAACATACATTTTGATTTAGACAATCACTTACATCGGCATTATATAGTTTTATTCTTTACATTTTTATTTTTACATTACTCTCTATCCATTAGGTCAAGCTTTAACATCATGTCTTCTTCAATTGAGGGTTTGTTTGACAAAGATTTTTGAGAAATGATTTCATGAGAAGTGTTTTTTTGTCAATTTGTTTTAAAAACTAAAAATAATATGAGAAATAAATTTTTTCAAAGAATATATAATTAAAAAATATATAAAAATAATAATTCTCCAGTAATCAAAATCTCAATAGATCTAAAAATTAGCCAAATCTCAAGTTTTACATCACCCCCAAGTTTAATGATGGGTAATTAGCCAAAAAAAATAAAGATGCGTTCTTAGTCTGCACTCATTACACAAATCGTCTCTATTACACCCTTATTTCAACATTTTTTTTTTCTTGCGAAGTTGTTCATTTTCATTAATTTCATCAATTACTTTCATTAAATATGGATAATTGACGCAAATTTTTTATACCTTTTACCTTCGTTGCAAAATCGTTTATATCGTTTTAATTTTGGCATTTGTGCCCTTATATCAACTTTCTTTACACAAGAGGTCCTTATCATCTATTTTTTCCATTAAAACATTGCAGAGTGACTAATTTATCATTCTCTTTAAATAACCAAATATAAAAGAAAGAAAGGATATAAAAAATGAAATAATTACCGCTATATTTTAATTTTAAAATAATCTAACAAAAGGAAAACATTTCATCTTGTTAATTAACCCCACCTACCCCTACTCCCAGCCTCAGCCCCATTCCACCACCACCACCACCACCACCACCATCAAAATAATTAAAAATATAAAATAAGTATGAAACAATTTAAAATAATAAATAACTAAAAACAAAACAGTTCTTCTTTTCTATCTAATTCCACAACCAGCCACCGGTCACCACCACCCATTCTCCCCATCTTCACTATAACGTCATTCAAGGATTTAGGCATTTAGCCTCACAAAACGATGATTTATGCATAACAGCAAATATATATTAAAAAGGAAAAAAATTATACAGCTACACCATCAGAAACTTGTGCTTCTCTGCAACGCCGCTTGGTCGGCGAAACTGGAACAACTGCATGTCCTTCTTACCGCCAAAGTATCTTCATCTCTACACGTCTAACTATTACTCACCGTTAATCTCTCACCAATCTCACTCACACCTATGTCATTGCACTCCTGCTTCACATCCAAACAAACCTCCTCAACTCTCTTGAACAGCTGAGTTGACCGACAGACAGGACACGTCACGTGCGAGGATAGCCACGTGTCAATACACCTGGGATGGAAACCGTGCCTACAGTATGGAATCAATTTAACAATTTCTCTTTCTTCAAACTCGCTCAAGCAAATGGGGCATTCTTCAATCATCATCTGGTGCTTCGCAGCCACACCGCAGGGCACAAGAGGGAGTGATTTCATGGCGGAGGGGTCGAGACCCTTGCGGTGGTTTGATTCCGGAGGTGGGTTTCTGCTGGGGCGGACATCGTCGGAGGAGGAGGAAGAAGA